TTTTCAGAGCTGTCCATGTATTATTGTTCCATTTTGCCCTTACAATGATCTCTTGATTGTAAATGATGAACTAACGTTAATCACTGGACAGTGCCCGGAGGGGCACAGTCTTGAACTAGCATTGCTCTGGGGAAGCAACAAATGCAGAGGAGAGTACAGGCTCTGGAACTAGGGTGTACCTGGGTTTTTTCCTGACCTTCAGCCACTTAACTGTGTGACCTTCAGGATGTCACTTAATCTCTCTGTGACTCAGTTTCCTCATCTGAAAAATCAGAAAAATAATTGCACCTACTTCAGAGGTACGATATATAGTCTTGCCTGGAACGTAACTGTTCACCATTATTATTATTATCAATGACTTAAACTGAAACACGTTGCTTAGTTCATATTAGATTATATTCTTTAAAGCTTTCAAATTTCACCCAGCTGTTATTTCAGTTGGTAACTTCAACCCTACAGTCAAGAACATTGCCTGGCATACAGTTAGCATTCAATAAATACTTCTGAAGGAAAGAATGAATGAATAAACAAGTGTGGGAACTAAAATAAGGAAATATGGCCATGAAAGGTAGAAAAATTCATTAAAGCTTTTCACATTTGAATCAAAAGGTACTCTGTTTCTGACAAGAGAAAAGAGATCGTTTGTTTTCCTATTAAGTGGTGGAAATTTTCAGTAAAACAGAATTGTCTGGAATAACTTTAATGAGCCCAAAACAAATAAATATCTAGAGGTTTATATGAAGAAACATACATGTAAAATGGAGAAATTTCCTTTGGAAACAAAGGCAAAGTTAATTAGCACTTCCTCTTAAATATATTCAACATACTTGACTAATGAGGCTGGTGAATTATTATAGTATGCTATTATTAATGGTAAAATTGATGTTTAACATGGGCACCAAGTGAAATGAGAAGGCTCTTCTAAAGTTTCTCTCAAAAAATTAAAAGCATGAGTCAATGTGTAGAAAATAAGCAAACAGGAAGGGGTGGATATGAACACACCACCTGGGGGGAAACTGGTGGTCCCCAGAGGGCCTCTGAGGACAGTCCTCATTACCAGGTCCCACGTCTGGCCCTCAGCCTTGCAGCCGCAGACACCCAATTCTCAGGGCATCAGAAACAGATCTCTCTCTTCTCCTCCACTTCCTCCTCTTCATGCAGCCACCCAAGGCATAAGACAAATACCTAAATCCCAAGTGCTAATTTATTAACTGATAATGTAAAATAAAAACTTGCTGTGTCTAACATTCAAGTCAGCAAAATATCCACAATTCTGTCAGTGTGAAATCATCGCCACAAGTTGCTGGGTAAGCGTGGACTCAGAACACAGGGTAGTTAACAGGATTAACCGACGATTTCAAGCACAAGTCAAAGGGGCCTCCTGCCACCGTCTCCACGGGAGAAGAAGCCTTGAGGTCGGGACTGAAACACTCAAAATCTGTCCACACTCCCTCTCCTTGGACAGTTCTTGGGGGCACGTGGCTGATATTTGCCTCTGTGACCCACTGATCTAAAAGATGTGGTTTTTCTTTATATGTTTTTTATTACATATGTTTTTATATATTTCTATTATATGTTTTCAAATATTTTTTATCTATGAACTCATTAAATCAGATTACAATCAGGACTTCTTGACCTAGAAATGATTTTTTTAAGTGACTTCATGCAATTTTTAATCTGTGAGAATTATAAAAGTTAGCTTTCAAAAGATAAACTTACGTGTCTCATTTCCAAGTTTTAATCAAAAGCCTTACTTTAATCTCCACGGATTAATATGCAATATATTAGCAAAAACAAGATGAAAATGGTCGAGTATAATCTCAATTATATTTTTTAAAGGAAAAAAAAATGACTGTATAAGGAGCTAGAAAAGAGCAGCAGAGGCTGGCCCGGCGGCCTAGCGGTTCAATTCGCGCGTTCCCGCTTGGGTGGCTCGCGGTTTGGATCCTGGGCGTGGACCTACTCACCATTCATCATGCATGCTGAGGCCGCGCCCCACACAGAGGAACTAGAAGGACCTACAACTGGGATATACAACTATGTAGTGGGACTTTGGGGAGAAAAAAGAAAAAGAGGAAGATGGGTAACAGATGTTAGCTCAGGGCCAATTTTCCTCAAAAAAAAAAAAAAAAGAGCAGCAATACTCAATTTATTCCCAGTGAATCAATAAGACAGCATGACAGCACATATGAGCCATCTTAAGTACATCTGCTTCCTCTTTTAAAGGCAAAGAGAAGAACAGTGATGAAACACATCAGTCCCCAAAGACACATATTTTTATATTTTTATTTCACATCTAACATTGTTTTATAACGAAGCATTAAGAGGGTTCTTCCATTCTTAAGTCATTCCTAGTCCCCACTTCCTTCCCCAACTCCACCCGCTCAAACATTTTAAGGTCTCTTCGAACAAGAACCATGTCTGGTTTACGGTTACATCCTTTGGACCTGTCCACAGAGGGACTCTAATGTCAGTAGAATGAATCATGTGACCCAACACGTAGTCACACAACTCAAAAACTTTAGATCAAATTGTTTTAACAGTTGCCTGGAGCACTTAGGCCATTTTTAATTGAACACCAAAGATACAGAATCACCTCCTGTCGCTGATTTCTTTATTTTATTTTTATTTATTTTTTTGTGAGGAAGATCAGCCCTGAGCTAACATCCATTGCCAATCCTCCTCTTTGTACTGAGGAAGACTGGCCCTGGGCTAACATCCATGCCCATCTTCTTCTACTTTATATGGGACGCTGCCACAGCATGGCTTGACAAGCAGTGCAGAGGTCCACGCCTGGGATCCAAACCTGCGAACCCAGGGCTGCCGAAGCGGAGCACGTGAACTTAACCGCTATGCCACCAGGCCGGCCCCTTGATTTTTTTTTTAAGCACAATTTTAACTTTAAATAATTCACCACTTGAAGTTGACTTATCCCTATGCTTTACTCTGACTTCCAGGGCCTCAGCTCTACTATCTGTTTGCTTACTTAAGAAGACAAAGTGCTAGACCATGGCAACTGACTGCTTGAGAAGACGATTCGCATTAACAGGAAGAGAGATGGACATGACTATATTATTCTTCCTGCTTACACTCTAAAGAACCTTCTCCACCTTAGTTTTCTTCGACTACCAACTGGATAAAGAGTCTGTATGGGAGAGAGAGGAGAGGTTTGCTCAACATCACAAAGATTCCTTCTATAAGGCACGGTTTGGGCTGACATCTTTTTAATGTGCTTTCTTTTTTGGCCTAATATACTTTATTTTTCCCTTTGCAACCATGAAATTTCCTTGCATGCATAGTTGAAGAATTTAATTAGCGTAAGAAATAATAAAATAGTAAAAACTACAAGCTAGTAAGACAAGTACTGAAAAGTGCAGAGTAATGGTATATTTTATCTTATGTATATTCAACCACAATAAAAACAACAGAGTAACCTGTGTAAGACAGAAGACTAACATCATGAGGCTGTACATATGTGGTCTATTACAACTGCATAATGGGCCCCAGGTGAAGGAGAATTCCAACATCCTTACAAAAGCACCAAAGAAATTAAAGCATCAAAAACAAACAAACAAAGTCAGACATTAAAAGGGAGGAATTCTGCATGCCATGGTAGAGCTGTTTCTTGTTACCAAAAAAAAAAAGTAAAAAAGAAATGTCAAAATCATTTCCATATTCCTTGAACGACAGTGTCAAACGCTTCTTTTAATTTATCCATTACCCACGGTATACAAGAAACTCTCCCTTAAAAATCAGAACGCACTAGAGAAAAAGATAGTCCAAATGCAAGAAAATTATGTGGTGGACAGATACAACCATCCAACGAGGCATAATCATCTAATTAAGCACACTTGTCTTAGACAACTGCTGAGCTGCGTGATGGTTCAAACTCTCCTTACCTAAAGGAATGTGAAAAGGCTTGCAATCTGCAAGAAGCCAGAGTAAGCATTAAAAAAGAAAGGAAGTTCTGGTAAATCTAAAACAATTAAATAACCGACTTTTTAAAAGTTGTATAAGGTTTGAATTGGACCCTAAAGCACTACACAATTGAGTCGGCATAAAAAGAAAGGAGGGCACCTAAGAGATGTACATATAATTGTCCAAAGGGCTCAAGAAAGCTATGTTTATGACATGAGGCTTAGAATGATGCGAGTCCAAATATAATAAACAAGTCATTTGGTGTTTTTGGTACAAAGTACAATACATTGACTGGCAAACTCATTCAACCAAAAAAATTCTGGTTGTAAAATCTACGTTCTCCACAAATGAAAAACACAAAGTCATGCAATCTGAGGGTTTTGTTTTTAAAACACGAATCTTTCATGCCAACAGAGCACAGCAAATTTAAACCACGTTTGTCATTTTCTAATCCACATGGGGGGTGGGAGGCGGGGACACAAAAGCACTGTGAAGTGGTTTTATCAAAATGGCTAGAAAAATTCTGCAGACTAACCTAAAATATAAATGCAAAAGAAAAAGCAACAGCTCAAAATCAAGATTGAGGCCTAAGCATGAACGTAGATACGGCTTACAAATTAGTACAAATCCGTGCACAAAGGAGCATGTTGTAATCACACCACGGGATAAAAATGTGCCACACAGAAGTGAGGGCAGGTCACAGTGCCAACGGGCACATCAGTGCTCCTGGACGCAGCCCCAGGAAAACACCAGGCTCGGCCACAACCACAAACTTCCACCACAAGAGACAGACTTACCATGGGTCACCAGGAAGGACTAGGAGGACAAAAGTTCACAACCAGAATTTTTCAATGGCCTTCAATAGATTCATAAGATGATCATTTTGAATGCTATGCCTAAAAATTAGAAGGCTATGCCGGAAAGAATTTAGGCAAGATTTCAGGTCCGGGTTTGAAGGAGTGCCCTCCCTCACTCAGAGGGAATATAGCATCACCCAGAGCCAAAGTCAGGCCACAAACGCGACCACAACATATTTTAATTTGCCTCAGCTATTTAACGAGCAGGGAGGAAGGAGGACATACTTGACATCTTCCAGCTTTTTGGTGATGACGGATCCAACAGATGAGAAAGCAGCCGAAGCCTTCTGTCCGGCTTGAGATAAGGTTTCTGATGTCTTTTTGTATCTATATTAAATTATAAAAGAACAGAGCAAAGAAAAGTAAGCAAACTTTGCTAATAGCAATTATTTAAAGCAGTGATCACCACTTCTTGGAGAATTCTCAAAAAAAATTTTTTAGAACATCTAAAATCCTTCACAACTACCAGGTCAGCATCATCACATCATTTTATCCTTACCCATCGTTTCAGGCACAATCTTCTGCAGCACCCTGGGACGGCCAGAAAGATAGAGGCCTGTAAAGGCAGGGCCTAAGAAGTCAGGGTAAGGGCTAAAAATAGTCATAGAGCAAAGAGAACATGAGCCAGGGGCTGAAAGAAATTATACCTCCTATTCTTTCCTCTTCCACATAAGCCAAACAAAACAGAAATGCAATTAAATTCCTCACGTGCCTTTGACAATTTTCTCTCCCAAAAAGGGGTCAGAAGCAAGGTAGGGCCCGTGTAGACTTTATTATCCAAATAAATTGTATGGGCATAAAGAATTTTTTTAAATTTTGCATGTCTGTACAGCTACCAAGAAAGGACTTGCAGACTTTCAACCGATCACGTAAAAGGTACAATATGTCAAAGGACTCGAGGGTGATGTTTGCTGTAAAACAAAGGTGTGATTTACCATCTCCCTCTTCCCATCTCCCCGGAGGTTAGCAAAGGGAGAAACAAAACAGAACAATAAGGTACCTACACCAAAGAGGTTAAGATTCCCACAGTACAGAAGGGAAGGCTCAAGCATTCTTACTCACCCGTCAAGATCAAATACAAAAACACACAAGGTTTATGGCGAGACAGTCAAAGAAGAGTTTCTGCACGCTTTTCCACTGCCTACTGAGATGGGGAGGAAGTGGACCAAAGGGCTGGGCACCCTGGTACTGTCACATCACTACACAGTCAGCCTCACGCTGCTGGTCACCAGCTCAGCAGATGGGACTGAATACAGACGACACACAACGCGGTTCAGCATCCGTTACCAGAAGCCTGCTCCCTCCATGTGCCAGGAAACAGAACTAACACCACGATAACGCCATACCAAAATTTGTGTGCTCAAAAAAACAAAAAGATTACAGGGTGGGCCTCTGCCACCAGCACATACCAGAGATGGTGACCCCAGAGTCTTATGCTATGCAGAGAGCAGGGTAAAAGAATACTGGCTCTGAACTTGTCCAGACCTGAGTTCAAATCCTGCCTTCTCAGTTTTGTTTTATTTTTGCTGAGGAAGATCGGCCCTGAGCTATCATCCAGGCCAATCCTCCTCTTTTTGCTGAGGAAGACTGGCCCTGGGCTAACATCTGTGCCCATCTTCCTCCACTTTATATGGGACGCTGCCACAGCATGACCCGATAAGCGATGCAGTGGTGCGCACCTGGGATCCGAACCCAGGCCGCCAGCAGCGGAGTGTGCGCACTTAACTACTACGCCACGGGGCCAGCTCCTGCCTCCTCATTTTGAGAGGTCTGTCACCTCAAAACTCACCTGATCCTGTTTTCTTATCTAGGGCCATCTCACCACCCACTCCACTGGGTCATTCTGAGGACTGAATGACACGTGTACATATCTGCCAAGTCAATATATAACATTTTTGGAACTTAAATTTTATTTCTTCAACTCAGATAGGAGGCTGGTGTTCTCTCTATTCCCTAGAACAGTCTGGAAGACCAAAGTTAGAGAAGAGTCACGCACACTTGAGAACTGGGGGGAAAGTGCCTTGTGTGTTACAAAGAAAAGTCACAGAAACATCCTCATCCCCTTTCCATTTCTCCCCAGACAAAAGGAGCAAAAGTGTCCTTCACATTCGCTATAAAAACGGATGATAGAGGGAACATACGCCGACGTCGCCGTCACATCTTGCCACCCTTTGGCCAGGTTCTGTTTTAGTTCCTGTAGGGAATTGATCCCAAGTTTCCGCTTGATCTCTGCTAGATGCTTCTCCTTTGCTGCTAACACTTGAGACAGGGTCTGGATCTCTTCTTCTACCTACAAGGAAGGGGGTGGGGGTAAGAACACAGCAAGAGTCATTTAGTAAGTTAAGATGATCGGTGCAAAACTATACTCAAAATTCCAGAGTCATTTCAAATTTTTTGATTCGTCTGTCTCTTTAAAAACAACATGTAATATGTTATGTAAACTGGTTACATGCTGATGACTCCTGCAGCGCTTCTCCTTTTTATATTCCCACCTTGAGTGGTCCTCAGCCTTCTCCTCTCTCCCTGTACCTCCTTACACGGCTATCTCACGGAGGCTTAGGGCTCAAGCCTCTACATAGACCATATTCAAATCACTCTAACATCCACTCTCCTGATAACTGGGTCCACGTTTCCAGCTCGACGTTTCTATGTGGATGCCGACAGAAACTCCTATTTGTGTACTAAATCCAACTAATCTCCCTCCCCCACCAAAACATGCACAACCAAGCCAAATCAAGATCCAACCTTCCTGCATATTTCATGAGTTTATACTGGAAATGTCGGTCCCAGGGCCTGCCAAAGCCACAGCCATACATAAATCCACTGTCTCCCCCAGAAAGCCCTGCTGAAGGCCTGTGTGGACCTCCTGATGCCAAGTGGCCGGCCTCAACTGGGTGGTAAGAGGTGGGCCCCTGAACCAAGGACAGCTGACCCATCGAATGGCAACAACCATTGACAAGCCCAGTGTGAAAAGAGATGCTCGGCTAAACAGAGGGTCTCTCATTAAAGAATCTAGTTTGAGAAACTGAGATAATGTTGGGAGCAGAAGCTGAGAAAGCAGCCCTGAGGCACAGGTCGTGCACAGAGAGATCACGACATGTTGTGGGAAGCTTACAGATACTTGAGGAGGCCAAAACTGCAAGCAGTATCTACAAACAACAGACCTACAAGTAGAGGAAAACATTAAGCCAGGAAAACAGAGGAACAAGGGGAGACTCACAGACAGAAATAGACACCATGTGGAAGAGACTTTCAGTCCCAGAAGTTGAAAAACTGCATCCTCAGAGTATATTCACTAATATTCAAGATCCTTAGAAGGATGCTTCTCTTGGTTGGTTGCAAAGCCATATTCCAGCCATATTCCTGCACAGCTCTGCCACGATTTCAAAGACAACATGGCCTTTAAAGACAACATATAGTGTCAAGTAAACTGTTTGCACTGCTAATTAAATCTTTAGAGAACATGAAGTGAAGAAAAACAGTACAAAAGGAGACAAAGATAAGGAGAGAAAGATAAATCAATGTAATGTGGCTGCCAGAAAAAAAAAGATTAACATAGCTCTTAGATGGCATTGATGGGAATGTAGGTCCAGAACAAACATAATCCTCTGTGTTTGTCAGACAGGACCTCACATATTGCACCAGTTGTGGAAGTCACATTTTAAGAAATACATTGACAAAGTAGAATATGAGAAGAAAAAGGCAACAAAAAATGAGTGAATGAAGTTAAAAATCAAGTAAACTAAATGGTTTGCTCTTAGGCATCAAACTAATAATGTAGAAACCAGAATTTTAACCCAGATTTTCTGACTCCATTTCTCAGTTTACTGGCTAATTCTCACTGCACACTGTTAGCTTTTCAGTACCTTTCTCTTTACCCCAAACTCCAAATCTTCAGATGCCATTTAAGTCTATTCTTTGAAGTACATTTTCTACCCCTAACACGTCTCTGACGTACTTACTTCCTCTTGTGAAAGGTGGAAACAAAGACCATTGTAAATCTTTCTGAACAACACGTGACCCAGTATATTCCCCGCCTTTGTTGGTTAGATTGTGCTGTTAACACACCTGGTTCAGCACACCATAGCCACATATATAGATATATTAGAATGACCTTTAAAGCATAAAGGAGAGCAAGATTAAGAATCCCTGATGTAAACCAAAAATAATAAGTGGAAAAGTTACTACAAAGCTATGGTAATCAAGATTGTGTGGTACTTGGCATAAGGATAAACATATAAATCAATGGAGTAGAATTGAGAGTCTAGAAATAAACCCGTACATTTATGGTCAATTGGTTTCCAACAAAAGTACCAAGACAATTCGGTGGGAAAGAATAGTTTTTTTTCCACGAATGGTGCTGAGACAACTGGATTCCCATGTACAAAAGAATGACGTCGGACCCCTAAGTCAGACTACATATAAAAATTAACTCAAAATGGATCAGAAATCTAAATGTAAGAGCTCAACTATAAAACTCTTGGAAGAAAACACAGGGGTAAATTTTCACAACCTTGGATTAGGCAACATTTCTTAGGTATGACACGTAAAGCACAACCAACTAAAGAAAAAATAAATTAGCGTGATCAAAATATAAAACCGCTGTGCTTTGAAGGACATTATTTTGAAAGTAAAAAGACAATGGACAGAATGGGGGAAAATTTACAAATTATATATCTGCTAGGGGTCTAGTATCCAGAACACATGAAGAACACTTATAACTCAATACTAAAATGACCATCCAATTAAAAAAAATAGACAAAGGATTTCAATAGCCATTTCCCCAAAGAAGATATACAAATGACCGATAATCATATGAAAAGATGCTCAATACCATGCACTAGTAATTAGAAAAATGCAGTGAGATACTACTTCACCCACACTAGAATGGCTATAATCACAAAGACAAACAATAACAAGCATTGGCAAGGATGTAGAGAAATTGGAGCCCTCAACCATTGCTGGTGGGAATATAAAATGGTGCAGTTCGGCAGCAAAACAGTTTGGCAGTTCTTCAAAAGGTTAAACACAGAGTTACCATATGACCCAGAAACTCCACTTCTAGGTATACACCAAGAGAAGTGAAAGCATATGTCCACACAAAAACCTGTACATGAATGTTCACAGCAGCATTATTCCTAACAGCCAAAAAGTGGAAACAACCTAAATGTCCATCAACTGATGAATGGATAAACAAAATGTGGTAAATAGATCTATACAGTGGAATATTATTCAGCCATAAAAAGAAATGAAGTACTGATATGTACTACAACGTGGATGAACCTAAGCGAAAGAAGCCAGTCACAAAAGACCACATGTTGTTTGATTCCATTTATATGAAATGCCCAGAATAGGCAAATCTATGGAGACAGAAATAGATTAGTGGTTGCCAGGGCTTGGGCAGAGGGAGGATTGGGAGTGACTCGAATGGGAACAGGGTTTATTTTTGGAGTGAGGAAAATGTTTTGAAATAAGATAGTGGTGATAGTTGTACAACTTTGTTAATTTACATAAGCCATTGAATTGTACATGTTTGGATGAATTTGAAGGTAGGTAAACTATATCTCAAAAAAGGAGTAAAAAAAAATAATGGGGGGGGATTTTTTAATCTCCATCTTATTTAAGTTTCTACAACTATTTCAAGCAGTGACTGTGATGTAAAACCTTTCCAAACTAAAAACTATCATTTAAGTATAAATGATTTTTATTATATCTAATTGTTATTATTATTAACACTATTATTATATCACGACCATGAGGTAAAGTAATAGTATATCTGCCATATCTCATGTAGTTTTTAGAAAAATTGGATCAACTTCTGATAAAGTCTGACTACTATACAAATAAAAGGGTAAACACACAAGCATCAGAGTTCATGAGGACCTGGATACAAGACTCAATGTGGCAATCCATTACCTTGTGACCTTAATTGTCATAATCTTGGATTAGGCAATGGTTTCTTACATATAACAGCTAAAGCACAAGTCACCAAAGAAAAAATAGATAAATTCAACTTCATCAAAATTTAAATCTTCTGTACTTCAAAGGGCACTATCAAGAAAGGAAAACCCACAGGATGGGAGAAAATATTTACATATCACATATCTGATAACTTCACTTGTTAAAGAAAATTACATAATCTGTTTAGAGATTTAGACCTATGTTTCCTCCTCCACTGAATCATGATTATAATAGCAGTGGCCTCACAACACTGTTGTGATGATTCATGAGATAATGCATGCAAAGAGCTCAGTTTAGTGCCCACCACCTAGTAAGTAATCTGCAGATATTAGGCGCTATCACTATTTTTTTTTTAGGAGGAAGATTAGCCCTGAGCTAACATCCTCTTTTTTTTTTTTTTTTTTTT